CCCCAGTTTGGAGATGAAAAGCCTCCTGGAGCCAGCCCCAGGAATCCCTCCAGTGACACTGCAGAATAGACCCAGCCCTGACGTAGCAGGTATTTCTGCTGTCAAATCACGAGCAATTCTGCTTTGAATAAATAGCTGGAAACCTCCCAGGACTCCTCAGATCCCTGGTCGGGATTGAACGCCTCCCGCCCTCTGCTGAGCCCCAGGGGGGTTTACCCTGACCCTGTGTGTCCATGCTGGGTTTTCTCCAAGAGCCAGCAGCCGCTGGATTCAAGCAGTGTCACCCCCAGGGAACTTCCGTGTCCCCAGTTGCCTAAGGGATGGCTGGTCCTCTGATGTCCCTTGGGTCTGCCCCAGGGAGGCTGGGGGCAGTTTGGGGCTGATCCAGCCGCTGTGCACACAGAGCAGAGGAGGGGAAGGGAACAGGTTTGCGAACAGCTTTATTGGGAGATCTTGGCCGTAATAAATAGGGGTTACACTGGGAGATGGTGGTGAGGGGCCAGGGGCTGGAGGCACGCTGTGCTCCCGTGGGGGCTGGAGCTGCGACTGCCCTGTGTATGTCCGCCCCGTCCCGCTCTTTCCTCCCAGCGGCAAAGCCGGCCTGGGGGTTGCTGCCTGCCGCCCCTCTGGGGATCAGGGGGAGTAACCTGGCAGAAATTGGGGCAGGGAGTGTTTTGGCGAGTGGTATGGGGCAGAGGGGGGTGGGAGGGCAGGGCTGTTGGTGTGGCGGGGCCTGGCGGTCACTGTGCCAGGGACTGGACGATATCCTTCACCAGCATCGTGCCGATAACCATCTTCTCGCTGTTTACGGTCAGCTGAGCTGCGGCACCTTCCCGTCGCTCCAAGGTGATGAGCACCAGGCTTCCGCTGGTCACTGTCTTGGCCGCGAACCTGCCCGCCAGCGAACACAGGGCATCAGGGCAAGCTGTCCCCCTGTCACCCTCCCGTCCCCCAGGATGCTCCAGTGGGGACAGGGGAGGCATCTGCCATCTGTGTGGGTTCATGCAGGCCCCTTGTTCTAAAGGAAGCCCCGAGTGTCCCCACTGTGATTTGGATGGGACCAGAGAGGTGACAGTGCCTGCCTGGTCCCGGTGTGGAGGTCCGGCTACCTGTACTCGTTGTCGGCACCACAGGGCACACGGCCCACGTTGGCAGCCAAGGTCACTTGCTGGACGATGGCATGGTCGCTCCGGCATTTCTCAGGCAGCGTCAGCTTCTCTGTGATCTCGCTCATGCCCGTCAGCTTCCCTGGAGCGGGCAGCAGAGGCACCTGCCCGACTCTGGCCACGCACACAGTGGCCATGTCCCTGCTGGGCCCCATTTTGCCGTCCCAAAACCAACCCCCTCCAGGTCCCTGCATCCAAGTCCCCCACGACATCCCAAACTGGCTGCCCTGCTTGCTCCTCTCCAGCCCGGCAGAGACAGATTTGGGAAAATCCTTCTTCCACAATCCTTCCCAGGCTCATCCCCATGGTGGCAGCAGCCACGTTCCTGAGGACAGGCTCCTCCCGGCACCCGCCACGATTGG